TCGGATCTCGATCTCCCTCTTTCGACGGCAGATCTAATCCTCGAGACGCTTGTTTCTGGGTCGCACTCGCTCGCTGGCAGCTGCGATTTCCGTTCTTTCCCACACGAGATTCTATCGACGTCGGCCTGTCTTTGATCAGTCCTGACCTCGACATACCTCGTCGCGACACCTCCATCGCCTCCATCTACCGACATATCAGCATCACGTCTGCTCGTCCTTCCGCCGGCTCGTTCCAGCTCGCTGCCCCCATCGAGCTTTCACGACCTGTCTCCTCGTGCTTCCGAATCCCACTCGCGATTCGATCTGCTTCCTCGCCCCCGTCTTTCATCGCTCACCACCAGCGTCTTTTCCGGCCACCGATCTCTTCGTCCCTCGTCGACGACGCGACAAACGCTGATCCACATATGACTTCGACTGCGAGCTCTCAGAAGAACCCGGCGCCGAACTCCTCTGCTGCTTCTGCCCCTTCGTATGCCTCTGCAGCAGGTGCATCCAAGAAGCCAGCCTCGACGCCTCTGATCGCGACAGGCTCCAACCAGTCTACTCCTGTGGTTGTTGGCGGCTCTTCCGCGCAACATGCCAAGTCTTCCGGCCCTTCACCAGTAAACGGACGACCTCCCATCACCCCTGCCGTGCCTGCTCCCGCAGCTGCTCACGGCTCCAACAACAACTCGAACAATATGAACGGCGCCGGCGAACATAGCCGGAAGAGCTCCGTCACCATCAGCGCCAACGGCCCCAACAGCTACGCCGGCAACGGTGGTGCTGCTGGAGGAGGCTCCAAGTCCGGTATCCAGTTCGGCTTCAAGGACTCGCCTGCCATCGCCCACAGCTCGCCCCAGATGTCCGCCGCCCCCATCCCCATTCCTGGTGGCAACCAGAGCGCCAGGGTCCCGTCTCCCGCGCACTCTCCCTCCCCCATCCCCCAGCCCTCTGCCAGTGGTGGTCGTCCCCCTTCGGGCATTGCCCAGCAGGGCAACATGACCTTTGGCAGCCTCGGCAGTGATGGCGATGTGAGTTTTCTTGCCCGCCCCCCAGAAAAGACGTTTTTGTCTCCCCAAGATGCGTATTTCTCAAGAAGGCCCTGAGCTAACGATAGTCTGTGCACAGCGTCACATGAGACAGGCTCCCACGCCTCAGAACCCGGCTGCCCTGGCTTCTCAGCCCGGTGCCCATATCCGCCGCGAGTCCGCCGTCTCTCAGCAGAGTGACATGAGCGGTGCTGCCCGGCCCAACTTCACTCCCCAGGGCGGACGTGGCCGTGGCAACACGCCCTACAACCCGGCTCACCCTCCTTTTAATGCTAGTCAGGGATTCCCTCCTAACTTCCAGTCTGGCCCCGGCCGCGGCCGCGGCGGCATGCCCCCTGCCTTCCACCCGGCTAATCGCCCCATGGGTTATCCCAACTCTCCCGGCCCCGCGCGTAGCCCGGCGCTGACGCACTCTCAACCCGGCACGCCCAACATGGCTCCTGCCCAGATGCACAACGGCATGCCCAACCAGACGCAGTACCACTACCCGGCACCTGGCATGCCCCCCCACCAAGTACATACCCTCTCTTTCCTTGCAAATTCGTTTCCTTCCAAGCCCGACAAGAAGAAGTCTGGCCGCCGCGATCAGGAGAAGTATTCCGACCATGACCGGCAGCTAATCAACTCTCGCCATCGCGGCTTGTCCAAGGCGCAGACCTCAAAGTCTCGACGTCCAAGTAGACGCGGAGAAGTAGCATGCGGAGAAGCGCCATGGACACAAGCTTCCGAAGAGGCAGCTCTCAGCAGTCGCAACACGGGCCCCTTGAACGCTACGCTGTCACTTCACCCGGATGCCCCTTGTTTTTTAATTCCTCCCCCTCACAAGAGCCTACTAACCCAGTCACCTGCTAAAATTGATCTCTCTCCCGAATCGGGCAATTTCGAACGAATGCTGACAGCTAAACAACAGTATGGATACCCTCCCCAAGGCGGCCAGTTCGACGCTCGACAGGCACCCTACTACATGCCCCAGCCCTACATGCAGCAAGGCCCCGGCGGCTCGCCAGCGGGCAACTACCAGCAGGGCTTTGTCCCTCCTCCCTACCACACCGCTGCCCCAGTCAGCATGTCGCGCACCTCCTCGCACTCTGAACGCCCCACCTCTAGCACCGGCCAGCCCAGCCAGCCGGTCATCGTCTCGGGTGCGCCCCAGCAGAACGCTCAAGGCAAGGGCGCTGCGGCCCTTCCTTTCACGCGCCCCAAGAAGAGTGCCGCTGTGGTCATCAAGAACGCCCAAGGCGAGACGGTCGATTTCTCTAGCATGAAGACGCCTGCTTCGCCCTCCCCGAGCACCCAGCAGACCAGGACCCCTCCTGTCATCGCCACCACACCCTCTCCGGCACCCAAGAGCGCCACCCCTGCGCGCCCTGACCACAACAGGACGGAGAGCGCACCGAAGACGGCAAAGGAGATTCAGGAGGAGCTGCGCGCCAAGGTCCTCCTGGCTGCCGGCGGCGAGCCCAAGGACGCCAAGACCGCCAAGCCTGAGCCCGCTAAGACCGAGGTCAAGCCTGTTGAAGCTACACCCGTCGCAGAGGCCAAGAAGGAGGTTACGGAAGCGCCCAAGGCTGCTGAAGAGCCCGCCGCCGCCGCCGAGGCGACCAAGGAGGCTGAGTCGAAGCCCGCTAAGCCGGCAGCCAACGTCGAGAGCGAAGAAGACGAGATGGAGCGCATGATTCGTGAGATGGAAGAAGAGGATGCCCGTCGCGAAAAGGCCGCCAACGAGTACGAGGCTAAGAAGAAGGCTGACGCTGCCGAGAAGAAGAAGCTGGAGGCCGAGAACAAGGCAACCTCCGCGGCCGAGGCGGATAAGAAGCTTCGTGACGCCGAGCGTGAGGCTGAGCGTCTCGAAGAGGAGAAGGAAAAGAAGCGTGCGGCCACCGAAGCCTCCGGCAAGTCTGCATCAGTCGCCGACGCCCTCGCGGGCAAGGAGGCGCCCCAGGAGGTCGGTGATGTCACCGACAAGCTCGCCAACCTCAATATTGGAGACAAGTCATCCAAGGCTGCGCCTGCCGAGAAGGCGCGCGCTACCAAGCCGGCTGCGCTGAACCTGGCTCCCATCAACACCAAGCCTGTCGAGCCCCCTCAGCCCAGCGCTGCCCTCCAGTCGCTCAAGTCGGCCCGCTTCCTGACGGTCATCAACCAAGACATCTACCCAGCTGGCATTAGCTCTCCCAACCCAGCGCTGAACGCTGCTGTTGCGAAGAAGGGCAAGACGTTCAAGTACGACGCGCAGTTCCTGCTCCAGTTCCAGAAGGTCTTCACCGAGCAGCCCTCCATGGAGTTCCACCATCAGGTTAAGGCCTTGATTGGTGAGGATAGCTCTCGCTCGGCGTCGAGCCCTCGCCCCGGCTCCAGCCGACAACCTTCCAGGTCTGGGGCCTTCACCCCGAGCCAGCCCAACATGGGCCAGTTCATTTCGAACCCGAGCGTGCGTGGCACAACGTCCAAGCAGCGATTCGCCATGTCCAACGCGGCTCTTGCTAGCGGTGCGACGGCCCCTGCGGCCGGCGGCATGGGCTCCTTCGGCCGCACCGGCAGTGGATTCCCCATGGGACCCCCTATCTCCCGCAACGCGTCGTCGTCCAACATCAACCCGTCCAACTCGCGTCGCGGCCCTGGTGGCAGCCAGAGGGGCAATAGCAGGCGTGACAACTTTGGTGCCAAGGAAGCGCAGGCTGCTAAGACCATGCCTCTTACGCAGGGAATGGACCTGAAGCCTATCACCGTTTCCTCCTCGGGCTGGAAGCCCACGAGCCTGGGCAAGGGTCCTGCCGCGGCGGCGCCCACTGGCAACATGGACCCCGAGATGGTTCAGCGCAAGGTCAAGGCTGCGCTCAACAAGATGACGCCGGAAAAGTTCGACAAGATCGCCGACCAGATCCTGACCATCGTTGCGCAGTCCAAGACCGAGTCGGATGGACGCACGCTGCGCCAGGTCATCCAGCTCACCTTCGAGAAGGCTACTGACGAGGCTCACTGGGCCTCCATGTATGCCAAGTTCTGCAAGCGTATGCTCGACACCATGAGCCACGAGATTCGCGACGAGAACCTCAAGGACAAGAACGGCGAGGTCGTCAGCGGTGGCGCGCTCTTCCGCAAGTACCTCCTCAACAGGTGTCAAGAAGAATTCGAGCGTGGCTGGAAGGTCAACATTCCCGCCAAGCCGGAGGAGGCTGAGGAGGAAAATAAGATATCCGCCGAAGCCGCCATGTTGTCTGACGAATATTACATTGCTGCCGCCGCCAAGCGTCGCGGTCTTGGTCTTGTCCAGTTCATTGGTGAGCTGTACAAACTGGGTATGCTGACAGAGCGCATCATGCATGCTTGCGTGAAGAAGCTGGTCGATTACGAGACGACACCTGAAGAGGCTGAGATTGAGTCGCTTTGCAAACTGCTCAGGACTATTGGTGCCAACCTTGACGCAAGCCCCAAGGGCAAGAGCTTCATGGATGCCTACTTTGACCGCATCCAGAACGTTATCAACATGCCTGACCTTCCCAGCCGTCTCAAGTTCATGCTGATGGACGTTGTCGACATGCGCAAGTCCGGATGGGCCACGAAGGAGGCCAACAAGGGTCCCAAGACCCTTGATGAGGTTCGCGCTGAGGCAAGTCAACAACACGCCCCTCGTTTTCGTATTGTAACATCCAAGCTAACCGGTTTCACAGGCCGAAGCCGCCGCTGCTCAGAAGGCTCAGGAGAACGCCCGTGGCGGCAGCCAACGCGGTGCCCCAGGCGGTCGTCCCCATTTCGGCCGCGGCGATGCTCGCAGCTTCAGCAACTACACTCAGCAACAATCCAACCAGGTTGGTATGGATGATCTGCGCCGTCTGAAGGGTGCCACCAGTCGTGCGGCCAGCGGCAACGTCACACTGGGCCCTACGTCCATGTTCTCTTCGCGTAGCAACAGCGGTCGACGACTTGGACCTGGCGGCTCGCTGGGCCGCGCTGGCGAGGACTCGAACGCCTCGTCGCGCACGGGAACGCCTCCCACTACACACACGAACGCCTTTAGGTAAGCTTGACCGACGATTGACATTCGCGGTGTTACACGTTGCTAACTCGCCCCTCAGTGCCCTTGCCAACTTGGACAACGATAACCCTGCCTCCCCTCCTTCGACAGCAGCTTCCCCAGCGCTTTCCAAGGCTGTCCCTGACAGCACTGCTGCCAAGGAGAGCAAGTAGAGGAGAGTGGACGGCTAGAGGTTTTGATTTTCCAGAGTCCAACGAACGCATTTCCCAAATAGAACGGGCGAGGTTGTTTTCGTGCATTTACATGGGAGGGGTTTCTGAGGAAGTGTTTTACAAAAGTTGATGATCGTTTCCATCGGCCATGATACCACCTTCGAGACACCGACATAGACGAGCCGCTTTGGGACGATCAGCCGAGGGAGGAGGCGGCGGGCTATTCCCCTTTTCGCGGAGGGAACGCGGGCTCTTCGTCGCCCTCGGCACTGTTTCACTACTTTTGCGTCTTGCATTTTGTCGTTACGTCGTCTTATTTTCTTCTAATGCGAGCCGATTGATTCGAGGATTGACTCTTCTCTATTTATTCGTCGTGCTCTGGTACACACGCTGATGGAAGATGGCTGCTCCTCGCCTTCACACTGCCTTCGCGTCTCATGGCAACCGAGCGCGTACGTGCCGTGGAAGAGGGTGACGGGAAGGGATCGGTCGCTGTACGATGATGTGGTGGTGCGCATTCAAATCTTCTTCAGTGACCACAAAGAAGAGGGACGGACGGACGGGTGGATGCTGGACTGGGATGGTACCTGGGTAGCGAATCCAAATGGGAGAAGGCATGACGCACGAAAAGCACATTTTTGAAGACTTTTTTGGGGGCCTGTTGCACAAGTTAGTCGACAAGGACAGTTGAACAAGTCATTTTATCTGAGGCGTCCGCCCTTGCTCTACTGTGATATCATGTCCCTTCCCGAGCTTTATGTGAACAGCCTGCCAGACCCTACGGCATGAAAGCGACCTTCTCAGGTACGCATCTCTACAGAAATCTCGCTTCGACATCGCTGGCAAGAGGAGCGAAGAGCCGATGGCCTCGTGGCAGGCCGTGACGGACTGATGAGCGTCTGCTTACCCTGAGTGTGTATGTCGTAAAGATTCTTGAGCCGTCATCAATGCTGGATCGCCATATTGTGTTTCGTTCTAGGACCTCGTGCTAAGAATTCCGTTCATTCAATTTGGACTGGCACATCGCACCTGTCCGCTTGAATTCAATCCGTCATTGGAAGTTGTGGGCATGCTCCGTAGCCTGCAGGCCATGGCAGGATAGAAGAGCTTGATGGTCATGCTGCAATGATCCTCCATTTAGAAGGGGACGAGCACCGAACGCAAGTTTCAGCATTATTGTCGGGAAAGTCCAGACAAGCATACACAAAACTGAACGGGTAGAATGGAGAAAAACCTTGAGCGCACTTTAAGCGAATCACCTACTACTCTTCACTACGTGACAAATGGCATGCCCTTCCTGGACCGCTTCTCCGACGAACGCCTTAAGGAAAAAGAAGAAAGCCTCTCTCCCGCACATGTTGCCCATACAGTAGCCAAGGCTGAACCCGCGCCATTACCAGTCAACTATCATACCCGTTCGTAACCTGGAAACCACCCCCTCAGCCGCTGATGTGGATATCTCACGCAGCTGGCGCCAGAGCCTTGCTGAACCCCAGCTTGGCGAACAATGTGTCCATCGCCACCCATTGCCTGCCACACTTGTCGAGATATTTCTCAACGACACCCTTGACGGTGCCGAACCGCACCCGGTTGTGCTCTGCCAGAGCCAAGATATTTTCCCGGTCCGCCTGCGACAGCGCCTCTTCTGAGCCCGGCGCGGCGGCAGCAACGGCCTTGTCGCGTGCCTTGTCGACATCCCAGAGACTGGTGAAGTAAACGAGTTGGTTGTAGATTGCCTTCTCAGAGTACTCGTAGCGCATACGGCCCAGGCAGTCTCGCGCGAGGCCCTTGGGACCCAGGCAGCGCGTGCCGTAGACATTCATCTGGCGCGTACGTATGCCGCAGGATGAGTCGTCGCATACAAGCCAGCCTTCGTAATAGCGGGCTGTCTGGACTCGGATCGCATGCTCCACCTGTGCGACGACCGAAAGGGGGTTGATGGTTGCGCCACAGTGGTCGCAGAGGACGCCAGCAGGAGACACTCGTGTTGGCTGGCTGTAGAGGCCTTCGAAAACAGACGACTTTTTGCATGTGCGGCAGCGAAGGCTGAGGCGGGTGCAGTCGGCAAAGCGAACATCGTCTGGGATCTGGGACTCGAGAGGATGAACCTCCATATCCTTCTCTACGCCGTCGTCATGTCTCCTCGACGTGTCATATCGCTTGATGTCCAGTCCCAGACACTCCGCCAATTGCATGGTCGAGGTGCCGACAATGTTGGCGCAAAGACGCTCGACGGGGGGGAAGATTTGCTTCGCAATGTACCACTCGACATCTGGTGCAAGTCCCGACTCGGGCTTCAGTACATCAGACGGCGTATACGCTCGCTTGGGCGCGGGCTCAGAGCTCTGCCCGTCGCCTGTGATGATGTAGCTGATAACGTCGCCCTTGCGGACGTTCTTGCCGCGAGCGATGTCACGAAGCGCGACCTGGACCTGAGGCATCGTGTCGCCATTGGGGTACTCCTTTGGGCCCTTTCCAAGCTGTGTGAAAATGATGTACTTCTGTGCGGGAATCGATTGTTCCCTCATCTTGGCGGCGATCTCACGTAGATAGTCGTGAATACGCGAAATTGACACCTCCGTGTCCTCGCCAGAGAGGATCTCGTCAAGAAGTTTCCCCGAAATCTCCTTTGAGAGCCCGCAGTACTCGCGACGCTTCATGTCGAGACCCTTTACTTCCATCTTCTCAATGTACTTGCCATTGTTCTCGACAAGGTTGATGGCAGCATACTTCTTCTTTGCTTGCAAGAGAATGCGTCGGAAGACATTGTCAATGTCAATCTCAAGCAGCCTGTACCGCTCATTGACAGCCTTTTTAAACTCGGCGCCGACTTTAAAAGCATCCGCCACATTTTCGACGTTGGCATTGATCATGACGGAATCAGTGTCACCGTAGATGACTTGGAGAGCTCTGCTCTCGGCCAATTCCTTAGTGCTTCGGAGAATCTCACGGCCCTTGTACGTCGTCAAGACGGCGAGGGGACGGGCGTAGAATCGGGACTTGGTGTAACCTAAACAGCCGTACATAGAATTGGCTGTGAGCTTCAGGGCAAGCTGCTTGATGTCCCAAGTGGCAAGCTGCTCGGGCGTCGCAGTCTTATCCTTCATGAGGCTCTTGACTTGCCTTCTTCTGCTGACGAGCGTGGCGATAAGCTTGGGAAGGATACCTTGCTCTTGGTCCACGGGAACCTCGGGGACTTCTTCCTCATCCTCAAGCTATAAAACAGTTAGCAGTGCTCGAGCGTTAAGGTCTTGATGTGAAGACTACTTACTGTTGCGGTTCGATCGACAGTGGTGAAGCAAATGTTGAACTCTTGGATGATGGACGGGTATAGAGAGTTGAAGTCCATGACAAGGACAAACTTGTCGTACAGACCCTTTTCGGGATCAAACACCAAGCCACCCTTGAACTTGTCCTTCTTCTTGCTGTCGCCCTCTTCATCCTCCTTGGCGCCCTTGCCCCTCTGGAAGCCTTGTTTGTCGGGGCAGATATACTTGTTTCGATGGAACTCATGGAGCAAAATGTATTCGTTTCGCTCAGCGCGAGTTCCGGTCAGTGTCCTGGCCCAGGAGTTACCAGCCAAGTTCGTGAGGACCTTGGTCAGTGGCAGCAGCTGAACTTGTAAGGCCAGGGCCGCAATGAAGTACGTGTCCGCCTCGATATGGGTGACGTAGTCCATGAATCCTTCTTTCGAGTGGGAAGCCCACGTCTTGAGCGCGGCATCATTGTCGAGCTCTCGGCGATGGTTGTTTCCCGAGAGATACAGGCTGCACATTTCCGTCAAGCTCCACGACTGACACTTGTACATGGCAGATTTACCGGCATCGTTGGCCAAGTCGCAAAGAAGGCGTCCTGACATTACTTGCCTCTCCGCGAAAACGTTTCCACCAGTCTTGCCAATGGAAGAAGGCCATAGAGTTCGTCGAAGGCGACCGAGACGAGACCACTGCGGTGTCTTCTTCTCGTGAATCCGGTTGAGCAGAACGCTGTAGTCCACACCCTCGAGCTGATGGCCCAATATCACGTCGGGATCCACTATGTCGAGCTGAGCAAGGAAAAACATGAGAATTTCCGACTCTTGCTTGAACGTCTTGATTAGACCTTTGCTGCTCCTGTCTTTGGCTAGCTTCTCAAATCCGCCAGGGAAGGCTGACCCATTCGGCCTGACGAGAGTGAACGTCCGGCACGGCAGTTTTTCGGCCGGAGTGGTGTCGCTCAGCGAGACCTTTTCGTAAACCCGAGCGCTAAGAGCCAGAATCTCGAGCTTGTTGTCTTTGGCATTGAAAGTCGTTCGCATAGCAAGACTCATGAGGGTCAGTGGAGGGGTCTCGAGGTTCTCCGAATCACGGAGAGGTGCGACCATATTCGGGTGCTCAACGAGGACTTCGAGCTTGCAGTGAGAGGCATTTTGGAGTGAGCTGAAGTCGGCATCCTTGATGTTCAGCCAACAAGGCCCCATGATGTTCTTCCAGAGAACAAACTGCTCAAAGAGTGCCGTGTTGGTGCCAAAAACGTGCGAGAAGGTCTCACCCGTTTCGCGAGCATCAACTGACGCCATACTGTAGGGGTACATGCACTTGAGATACTGGCCTTCCTTGGGAATGTCTGGTAGCTCGAAGGCATACTTTCGCTTGCAAGCCTTGGTCTTGTGCTTGCCGATTTTCAGCTTGGTCATGAGGGCGTCCACTTCATTGTACACGTCCACCATGCCAACTTCGTCGCACGTATCGATACCACCCTGCACGCGAGTCTCGCGTGGTAGAAAGAAGAGCTTGCGCAGAATGTTGTCGATTTTGACGAAACAGCTGACATGCTGGCCAGTCTTCTTGTTCAGGACTTTGCCGAAGAGACACAAGCTACCACTGACTTCGGTGTAGTCCGTCCAAAACATGTTCAGGCTACCGTCCTCTTCGATGGCGTCCTTGTAGTCGATCTTGCGGATGCTCTTGACTTCCGAGGCCGAGCTACTGACGATATTGAGGTTGTTTGTGATGTCGTTCCACGCGGATGGGTCAATAGCTGATTCGTGCTTGACAGGTGATGACGTGATGGGTGCTGGGTAAGGCTCGGGCTTGATCAACTTCTTGGGTGGTCTGGAACCAGCAATATTGACACTGGCAGCAGTAACGGTGCCGGCATGAGCAACCTCCATCATGTCGTCATCGTCATCGTCGGGCTCTTTCTTAATCTGGGCCTTGCGCTCTGCGACTTTGGCTGCCGGCGAGGAGGGAGCAGGGTCGCTCATGGGGAATTGGGTCGGTAGTTCGTCGTCGTCTATAGTGGGAACAAAATTGTCGTCCATGAGCATATCGTCCGCCGCGGGAGGAGACGATGGTCGATCATCCTGAATTTTACTTCTCTTCGCCAGCGGTTGGGACCGCTCATGTGGCGGGGGAGAAGCGACTCGAACTCTCCGTTGTTGGCGATCGGGTGATCGGTGACGTTTCGTGGAACGGGGCACTGGAGCGGGAACATTGGTGTCGACCTCACCGAGGAGATCTGCGAGGAAGTCGTCGTCTTCCTTCGTTTTGGCAACCTATGGCTATGTGAGCCAAACTCATTCGATTGGGATCCAACGACTCACCTTTGGTTTCGCTTGCGTCTTGCCGGCACCACTGGTGAAGTATGTACTGATATCTCGATCATTCGCCTCCCGCCTAGCTGCGTCGTCGGCTTGTTTCTTCTTGGCTGCGGATGGTCAGCCGCCGGAAGGTGTTAGAGACGGAACCAGAGTACTGACAAGCTTTTGTTGGCCTTCCCCTGGCGCCAGAACCATCTTCTTCGCTGTCAGAAGCGTAGTGGTACTGCTGCACACGATCCCATTCTTCGCGACCGTCATCGGCATAGCCCTCGCCGTTGTCGTCTACGACAAAGTCATCTTCGTTGAGACGATCACGTACGATTTTCTTGTACTGCGTTTCGTCGACTTCTTCGTAAAGTTCGTTGATATCGTCGACTTGGTAGTTGTCGAAAGCCTTCTTGCCCGCCTGCCGGAGAGCCTTCAGCTCGGCCAGCTTGGCGCGCCTGTCTGTCTTCCCCATGGTACAGAACGGGGTGAATCGAAGAGTTGGACTATGGCAGAGTCTGGTTCATGACCGATCGAATCAGCAGAATGGAAAGAGAACTGGTGAGGATTGGCGGGGAAGTGTTGTGGTGGTGAGTGGTGTGGACAAGAGCATGGTTGTCCTGCCAGGGGGCTCTGGCTGGTCGATGCACCTACTGTGACAAGACAAAGTGGGCGTTAGGAGACGCGTTAATCACGTTCAGCACGCGTTTCGCGCGTTCACTCACTTGACGACGCGCTCCCTTCAAAACCCATGCTCTAGCCCCACCCCCTGTGGGTGGATACCGTACGATTAGATAGGACCTTATCTCCCAGACTCTCGAAAAAACTCCCGAGACGGAACTCGATGGCATGGTCGTGTATCATCGCTTCAGATACGATCATCTGCATTGGTCTTTTTCGCGCAGCAATCATTCCAATGTTTTCATGTAGAGCCTGCCTTCGAAGAGCCTTGGGCTCAGCGACAGGCTCATCTATGTCCACCGACCTAGCGATCCTCAGCATCGCCGTTTCCTCTCAACATACCAGATCATTCGCAACCTCATCGATCGAAGATGCGATTCGAGCCCCCGTGGCCTCTACTACTCCGCGACAGGCCCGCCCTAGCACCAGGCCGGATCTCAAAGATAGGCAAAAGCTGGAATGGGCGGTCAAGAAGCACCTTGAGCGCATGGACGACCCCTTCATCATTGCACAGCATGTCAGCCGCACTCTCGCAAAGGATCGCTACGACGAGGCCCTCCTCCTTGTCCAACAAGCCAGCAAGACGGCCCAGTGCGTGGTCTCCTGGAATCACTTGATCGACTACCAGATGAAAAACCAGAAGCTCAACGCCGCTGTCCGTCTCTTGAACGACATGAAGAAGCGCGGTCAGCACCCCGACGAGCTCACGTACACCATCATCTTTCGCGGCTGCGCCCGCTCGACGTATCCCAAGCTCGCCGTGGCCGAATCAGTCCGCTTGTACAAGTCAATGACCAAAGACGCAAGGCTCAAGCCGAACATCATCCACTTGAACGCAGTCCTCCAGGCTTGTGGCCGCGCCGGCGACCTCGACGCCATGTTTTCCCTCCTCGATTCACTCGATGACAGCAAGCTCAAGCCCGACACACATACCTATACCGCCATTCTACAGAGTCTGCGCGCTTCGGCGGAAGACCCCGCGTCTACCAAGACCGCATCGCAGCAGCTGCGGAAAGAGCGTGTAGCTCAGACTATTGAACGTTGCAAGTCTCTATGGGAGGAAGTCATGCGCAACTGGCGCAAGGGCGACCTCGTCATTGACGAGCATCTCGTCTGCGCCATGGGCCGTGTGCTACTTCTCGACAAATCAACCCGCAGCCAGGACATTCTTGCCCTGGCAGCTGAGACGATGAACCTGCCGAGGTTCGACAAGGATAGCAACGCCAAACCCCACGATGCCGTCGACCCCACGGCTCCATCGCCCAAGTCCTCGAGTAAAAGAACTGCGGCGTATGCTGCCCCCGGGAAGAACACACTGTCTCTGCTCATCACCATCCTCACCGATGCCCGCCTCACCCGCGCCGGCACCCGGTACTGGCATCACATCCTGGACACCTACGCCGTCAAACCCGACGCCAAGCTGTGGGAGCAGATGCTTCGCCTCCTCCACCTCGGACGTGCCAGCGCCGATGCTGCCAGCCTCGCCGCCGCCATCCCCCCGCCCCTCGCGACCCCTTACTTCTTCCGCCTTGCTCTCGCCACCTGCCTCCGCGACAAGAACAGCGCCCGCATGCCCGCCAACGCAGCCGCCATAGTGGACAGCATGTCAGCCGCCGGCCGGACGGATCCAAAGTCGCTTGCCCTCTACCTCCAGCTCGTCCAAGGCCGCGGCGAGGACTTCTCCCCTGCCAACGTGGACGAGTGGAAGCCGTACTGCAAGCGCCTCGCGGACGCGCTCGACAAGGTCTGGGAACCGTACCGTCTTGCGAGCGAGAGCGTCGGGCTGCCGAGGATGGTCGAGAGCCGGAAGCCCTGGATCAGGGACACCAGCGCGTATGAACGCGTCAACGAGGTCGTCGGGCTGGCGCGCGAGATGGTCGGCATTGCAGGGCGCATCGGGCGCGTCGAGGACGTACTCGACAGGAAGACTATGAAAGTTTTGCAGACGAGGCGAGACAGCCTTAACAGGCAAGTGGTCGTCTTTACCGAACTCCGACAGCAGCTGCCGGCCAGCATCATCGGAGAGGAGAGTGACGCTGAAAGACCAATGTCGGAAAAGTTGGAGTGGTAATGCCCCGCTGAACAGCGCGGTACTGTACAACACTTGTCATATAATGGATATAGTTACGCCCACGTCGGCGCCCGTGTTCGCTCAACCGTTCACATTAGAGTCATATACCCAATCTAGCAACCTTGCTCGTGTTATGATACAGTGAATCAGCCAGATTCTTCCGTTCTTCCCTTCCTTACAAGCAAGATTTCAGATGGCAAGTGCAGCAGCCCATCAAGACTGGCAGTCAATGTCCCGCAACCGAACGCCCGTGGTGTCCCGCCGCCCTGACCCATGCGCGTCTGCTCACATCCCTAGGCTCATCGGCCTCCCCTATTGCGCTGCTGGGGCCCCCGACCCCTGCGGCTGTTTCCAACGAGCTTATCGCTGTAGAGACCGCTTCGCTCCGTGCTGTAGTAGTAGGGCTCCTCGTCGTCCCTGTCCTCGTCCTGAAACCCGTGCGAGCCGTCGACAATGTTGCCGGCGTTCGATCTCTGAGCCCGTGGCCCGCTGGGCGCGTTGTGTGGGGCCGCAGCACTCCTCTGCGTGGCAGGGTCCTTGTAACCGCCCGGTTTGGGGTACACCTTGATGAGTCGACCGTCGGCCTAGCACATCCGGGTTAGCCAACTATTCGATTCATGTCGGCGAGCGCCGTGCCAGCAAAAGCATACCGTCTGGTCGTTGAACGTTGAAATGACCGCCTCGCCTCCTTCCTTGGACGAGAAGACCATCTCGACAATGATGATGGGCTGCGTCTTGATGACGGTGCAGCTGATCATCTCGCCGCCGACGGGCGTCATGGCGCTCTCAATGTCCGCCGCCGTGGTGCCAGGCGCAAAGTTCTGCGCCATGACGGCGTACGGCCCTGCGAGTCCGCGGATGGACAGGCCGGGGCCCTTGGACGCGGGGCTCGCCTTATGCTGGAGCAAGTCTGTCCGCTCGAGGGCGTCGACAATCTTGGCGGCGCGCTTCTCAGCCCGCTTGCCCTTGGGCCCAACGGCGACATTCTTGCTCCCGGGCGTCGAAATGCGCGACGCGAGGCTGTTGTTCCTGGGGTCGTTGACGGAGCTGTGGAGATCGTGGGTCCATTCGCCGTTGATGTTGCCCGCGCTCGAGGCTTTCGCGGGGCCGAGGGAGGCGCGTTGCTGCAGAACGTGCCCAGGTTAGCTTCGTACCACACGCCATCAAGGCAGAAAGACACGGGTTGACTGCGCAATGGCCTACCTTCTTGACGCCCACCCTGCTCGCAAGTGAAGGTCCTGTCCCGGGCTTGATCTTGGACGGAGCACTCTGTCTTCTGTCCTTGGAGAAGATCTTCTGGGCCAGGGCTTGGTTCTTCTGACGTTCACGGCCTGTATCACATCATCAGAATGCTGTCGGTTCGCTAGCATAGCGGCCAGAGCTACCCACCCTCGTGAACGATCTTCTCGAAATCGACTGCGACCTTGGCCATGGTTGTTGGTGATTTGTGGCGTTTGCAGGAGAGCAGGCCAGACAGGGGAGCCGAGAAGAGGATGGGTGCGCTCTCTGTTCTTGAAGGCGCTGGCCAATGGGAGTCGCGACAGAAAGTCCTAAGTGGACTCAAGAGAGAGGAGAGAGAGAGGCAGGTTGCAAGACTCTACTGTGACGTTTGCGCAAAAGGCTACCCAGGGGTCGCGGTTTGGTGATTAGGTATAGTATGTAGTTTGTGTCGAGTTGGTAAAGGCATCGGCTCCAACGCGTGGAATAAGCTACCTGGTAATCAATTGGACTAACCCCTACAGGGAGCCTTAACCAGGTACCTACCTACCTAAAGCCAGACACCCAGGTACTTATTCGTGGCCCATTCTTCGAGCGCCACAGTCCACTTCAGAGGCCAGCCAAACTCACCAACCCACCAAAAATCTTTCCCTACAGGGACCTAGCAAGCCTGGCAAGTCTAGACACCTCATGGCCAATTCGAAAGGCGTCCCACTGCGCGCCTTCCTGCTTGCCTACCAGCCGTCGCCTACATTTGGTCTCATCACTTTCCCTAGGACATTAGCACACTTCACATCAAGCTATCATCTATGGTGCTAAATGCGCATTTGGACAATGTGTAATGTTTTTTAACCCGTGTCCCGCCGCTTTGAAAGAAAACTTAGCAGAACACGACAATACAGAATCCGCAAAAAATTGGCACACTTGATTTCTCAAGAGGACTGCCCTTTCTGTTACTGAGTACAGACAGCATTTGATCAGCCTGGATAGGATCCAAAGTACAAAGCCTGTTGAGGCTCCTTTTGCTCAAAGTCATTCCCCGTCCTACCCTCCCACCCTCCCCTCTTTGGCGGTACCTAGGAAGAGAAGAAAGCCGCCAATGCCCTCCATCCGCGTTATAAGATGCTGCAATATTCCCGCCTCCCGTCCGCCCTCCCGTCCGCCCTCCCGCCTGCCCTTCCCTTTCGTCGTCGTTCATGGTATCCATCCTCTTAATCTCCAGCTTCTGCTGCCAGCAGCGCCACACGTGGTTTCTATCTGGTCGGGGCTGCGTCGTCGTTGTGGTAGTCAAAAGCACGTTTGTCCCTGGCGCCAATTTGTCCGAGCCATGTTCTATGCGCCGCACCCCTTCCTCCACATCGATGCCCTTGGGTTCGTGGGTTTCTGACCGGGCTCAGGCCCGGGCTTTCTACACGGGCCGGCTCTTGTACGTCTTACTAGACAATGGGCGTTTTGCGCCAGCTCTCGTAGCACGTGGGATGAAATGTCTGAAGGGTCATGGTCCCTCGTACAAAACCCCGGCTGCTTCTGACAACTTCTGGGGTTCGGCCAATCGATAAGCCCGTCGCCGTCTCACTCGACTGGACGACGTCAGGTCATTCTTCAGTGCCAGGGGTTTATTCTGGCTACCCATGAAGCCCTCCTCGAGCGTCCGCTCCTCGAGGTTGCGGATGAAGTCGCGGTTGTTCCCCCTCCGCCCCTGTTGCTGCGCACGGCTATCGCGTCGTCCTGCCCTGCCTGGCGTGCCCTCAACCCCCGACATGCCTTCGCCCGGTGGTGGGTAGTATGCTGGGCTCGGTTGAAGCCTGATGGGTTGACTGGGGTCGAGGTGGCTAGCAACGCGCTGGATGGCAGCAGGAATCCCGCTTTGCTGCTGGTCCATTGTCGAAGCCCGCTGGCGCCCGGCGCGCATGTTGTTTTGCGGGTAAAGACCGCCTTGGTTGATGTTGGGCTGCTGGCCGTAAGGAGCTGCAGGCATCTGCTGCGGCGCCTGAGACAAGACCACCTGCTGTTGCCCATAACCACCCGGCTGCGGGCCATAGGCAGGCGGCTGTGGGGCGTGATTTCCGCCAGGAGAGTACATGACGTTACTGCCATACATGGACTGCGTTGCCGGGACGTGTCCGGCCTGCTGGTATTGCGCGTTCATTGATGCATAAGCCCCCTGCGCCGCCGAGTTGGCCTGTGCCTGGGCTGCCTGTGCACGCTGTTTGCTCAGCGCCTCTGCTTGCTGCTGTTGCTGCGTACCAGGAGCCGGAGACCTGTTAAGCGAGCTCGACTTGAGGTTCATGGGGGGTACAAAGGGACCAGTGAACTTCTGTTGGGTAATGAAAGGGTGCAGCTTAGCCTGCTGTGGAGACCATCTCTCTAGCGGGTTGATATTGAGCAGCCCGCGGACAAAGTCGATAAAGGCGATGCGGTTGTTCATTTCTACACAATCTGTCAGCAGTCATCCCCATCATACCATAGTGGCCAGGCGTACCCCTATCGATCTCGTTCTGTTTCATGTTCTTCCGCGGCATGGGATAAGTCTTGATGATGTCCGGAAGAGTGTTCGCCTGGAAGTATTTCTTGCTGGGTTGCTCCTTGGTTGAGTGTTCCCGTGCGTACTGTTCCATGGGCTTGAGCTGATATGTGCGGCGCCCAAACTCGTCCTGCCGCTTCTCAAAGAACTCGCCGGCCTGTTTTCCCATTTCGATCATCCAGTTGGACGGGTTGCCGAGCATGTCGACGATTCGTGAGACTTGATTGTACTCGGACGATCCTGGGAAGAGAGGGAGACCCAGGAACAGCTCGACCACGATGCAGCCAAGAGACCACATGTCGATGGCAGACGAATACGGTAGCCCCAGCAGAACTTCAGGAGAACGGTAAAACCGAGACTGAATGTAGGTGTAGACAGTCTGGCGCTCGTCACACGCGGAGCCGAAATCAATAATCTTGATGATAGGGCTCTCAAGGTTCTTCAAAAGAATGTTTTCGGGCTTGAGGTCGCAGTGGATCAAGCGGGCCTTGTTGAGAAGCGCAAGGCCGTTGAGCAGCTGCTGCGCGAAGACGCGGACGAGGGTCGTGCTGAGTCCCCTGAACTGGTTCTGCTTGATGAGTTCGTAGAGGTTGACACTCAATAGCTCGAACACGAGGCAGAGATGCTGGCGGTGGATGAATGTGTCTTTGAGTCGCAGGAGGTGGTGGTCATCATTCTTGTCCAGTTTGGTGTTGAGCTGTTCAAGACTGGATTAGCAAACGAATGCCCTTCGGGCGGAAGGGCTAGTTGTCGTACCAAATCAAGGACAGACACCTCCATCATGCTCTGGTTGAAATAGGCTGTGCGATTCTTGATAACCTTCACGGCAACAACCTCCTGAGTCTTCAAGTTCTGGCACTTGACGACCTGACCGAATGTCCCCTGGCCCAACACGTCGAGGATGAGATATCGGTTCCTAAGCAAAGGCGTATCAGTAAGCGGCGCATGGAGGCAATCGATACTCCCTGGGCACTGCGAGTGGTGACATACTTGTGACCAGCCTCCTCCGAACCAAGGATATCATTCACATAAAGGATGTAATCGCTGTCTTCGTTGTCGAAACCGTCATTTTTGACGCCCTTGCTCGGTTTGGTCAAGACACGCCGGGGATTGCGCGACGACTCGTATTTGAAGTTGGGGTTGCAGATGCGGTAGGTGGCCGGGAGGTGGACTGTAAGAGCTTGCAGAGGCTGCATGGTCGAGCGTTAGCCGTGGATGCTGTGATACCACAAATGCTTTCGGTGGCATATTGATTCTT